TTTGTCGAATCTGTCCTCAATGTAAGGAAAACGAAAACATAATTACTCACCATTTATATCACTGATAAGATTAAAACGAAAATGAAACAAGACGTGTTTTATACTAATCCCTCTTGATATGTTGATCTTGGGATGAGAACTGAGAAACTTATTGTTTTCCAAAAGAATTAAAAAGTCGCTTCCTCATCATACTATTTTACAAGATTAAGTAAACGCTGACGCATAATTTTCTAAGACGATCCCAATTGATCATTGTTCTTTCATATACAAGTAACGTTTTCGATTTTTGATTTATCTATATCCAAGTGCTCCTGTCTATGTAATGCTGTTTAAACTCGTAAGTAATACAAATTCTATGATTTTATGCCTACCTGTTTTGAGCAATCGGATTTGTTTTGGATGGGACTTCTTTTTTATTTTGCCAAAAGCGTTAGTTTTTATTCAGTTTTCGCTATTTGTTTAAGTTTGTTATTGTTTGGTCGTAAACCTGTCATGTTTCTTTGATTTGTCGATTATTTTGGAGGGATTTTTGAAAATGATGTTACCTTCTTTTTGTTTCCCCCTTTATAATAGTTATTAATTCTGAAATGCATAAAAATGCTTGCCACAGTATGATAAGCAACAGACTACAAAGCATTATATAATTCAATACAAGTAAGTACAGGTGAATTAATTGTCTTGCTGAAATTCTAACAATAGTGGGTTGATGTAACTCGTCATATTTTGAAAACTGATCAAATTAAAGTTTTTCAATATGAAATTAACAAAAAACCCAAGGAGAAGATACGTACGCCTTGATTGTCAGTTGGGATATACATGAAAAGGAGTTATTCTTACCATTATATTCTCCATATTAAGAAATACTTTATGGATTATCTAATCTGTATAAAAGGAATGACTGGCAAATATATATACAATGGATTTCACATTTGTACTTATTTAGAATGAAAGTCAAATAAACAGACAGAAAGCATACAAACCCTCCGCGAATTTGCTAAAATCTGATACCCACAACGTACCTTCTGACAGTAATCATTGTTATCGGAACCCAGTCTGGATCAGTCTGTTGTAATGACTTTGAGGCAAAGGGTAAACGGAAAAAGACCGCTTTTGAAAAGTTGTCGGGATGTACCATAGAAAACACTTTTAGGAAAACAGTGTAAATGATTACGCCCTTTCATTTTATGAACATGAAATCATCCTTTACTGCTCATCTTTAATTATTTTTCTTCCTGATTTATATTTAGGTTCTACACCAACAGAACTATCTGCTACGGTACACGTATATCATGGTACATAATGCCACGATGATACTTGGGATGGAACATCCAATTACCAAATCGTGATAACAAAATTATATCAAAAACTTGTGTTTGACAAAGTACCTAATTAGTGATATAATCTTGACTTAACAGACAATGAACTATAATAGTTGTTCTCAATACTAAAGTAGTTCAATATGATGTCCTTAATATAGTACTTGTATGTGGGTCATGAAAGGACACAGCGACTTTTGTATTGTCGTCTAGACTCTAATTTCATTTTTATCACATGTATTCATCGTAAAACGAATAGGAATACTGGTACACCAAGAGATTGTGGTAACCAATTATGATTAGGCCGCATCGCAAATTCTGATTTTTAACTTCTGTTTCACCTTTTTGCACTTCAATTTTTATTTTTCTCTTTTGATTTAATTTTTTTCATTTATTTTGTTGTCGTAAATTTGAAAAAAAATCAAATGGACTTACCGAATCTAGAATACATTCAGTTGTTTCAATAACTGTTAGTTAACAGAAACACTTTATATCATAGTAAAAATATAAATTAATACATCTTCGTTTTGTGTGATTTTCACGATGGATTCCATATTTCGGGAATTGCGTATCATTCCGGGGCATTAGTTTATTCCTAGTTGCTGCTGGTTTGCGTTGTCCAATCTTTCGTTTTCTGTATGGTGTGGTGTGGATTTGTTTAGTTTTTCAACGTTTTTTCTTTTTGGTTGATTTTGTTCGACTTATGGTTATCTTTGGTCTCTTTTTATTTAAAATGACAGTCTATTTGACTTTTATTCGGATAATGACCTTTCAATGGTGAATTTATACTTCTTATATCAACAAGTAACTTAAACGAAAAGGGGTCCCCGCGATATAGCTTTTTTGTACCAAGGCGTCGTGAAGCAAACACACATATCAATCAATTGTCCCCAATACCAAAATATTAGTTTGAAATTCCAGACAATGACTAATTTCAGTTGATTTTTTTAAAATATAAACAGTCTTAATGTCCTCTATCAAATAAAAAATGGCGAAATAGCAAATGTATGATAATTCAAATTGCATTCTTGCAGGTGTTGTAAATATGTTTGGTAATAGTTGTTTGTAGACATGCATAATACATGTATACAAGATAGTATTGTCATTCACAACAATAAAATGATGATAGCATTCCATCGTTTATTTATTTGTAAATATTATTTTAATATTTTTACAATTGCATAATCTCACTGATAAATGTGTTCTTTCACAAGTCAAACATCCCTCGTTTAAAAATAATTTTGACAAGATATTTGAAAATCATTAAAGAACGTTTAAAATAAATTTATTTATACAGGACATGTAATAAATTTGAAATATAAAAGATATTTTTTTTATACTTAACATTTAATGATAGTACATAATTCCGTTTCCCACTCAAATTTCTCGTTACGAAATTTTTGAAAGTACAGTCAGAATGGATTATATAGATAAGTACAGAAACGTTAGTCTCTTTATTCATCAATGACAAACTATTCAGCTACTTTTCAAATGCGAGAAATAGCATGTCTGAATATCCGTTGAATTTGTCACCGAATCATGACAATGAAAGCTATGCTTTTCTGCTCTATAAATTCAATGCATGCACCACCCTTTTGATTGGGGTGGGGGTTCCAAGTTTGCTCTATTCTGAGCTTGGTGATATGTCTACTGGTAGACTGTAATTCAAAACCCACGAGTGTTAACTTGCCTATTAATTTAGTGAGGCTACTATTTATATAGAAAAGTCTATGACTATAATTAAATTTATTATTAATATGTATAATAAAAACAGAACCAAAAATAAACAACTCAGTTCATAAACAAAAATATAGAACAGCAAAGTAAACAACAACAAAATACTTATGAAAAGGTATACACTTTCATAATACGAATGGTCAGAAAGTATATATATTTTTATGAGAAAAAAAGTAATATTCCAGTATTTAATACTAGTATGTAACATCCCATTCCTTGACATGCCTCCTTAAGAATTGAGTACTTAATAATCGTTTACAGAAACAAATGCAAATTGAAAAACGAAACATACACCGAGTTAAATAGTGGCGCAGATATGTATGTGTGTGTGGGGGGGGATGGAGGACATCTGAAAGTGACAGGCTAAAAAATACCTTTTCTATAGTCTAGAAGAAAGTGTGTGTCCTCTTTCACTTTCATTTTTATTTTCAATAATTTTTGTTTCGTCATTTTTGAAGGTGGGATACCATTGATCAATACACATAACCATCCATACAATATTTTCCAAACCAACAAAAAGATAAAGGAAATCAGATGGAGAATATCAGAACAAGACAAAATAACTTAAAGCGGAAAATCCGACTTTCGTTTTTTTTTAACTTTCAGTGTATGCTTCGGGTTTAAGAAATCGAGGAGCTTATATATGCGTCTGTACTTTTTTTTTTAGATTGTGGTATTTCAGATCCAAACTCGAAATTCTCGATTTTGCAATAAAACATTTTTTATGTGATTTAATCTTAAAAGTACAGATGAACATAAAATTGTAAAATTTAAGGACAAATGAAGATGAAATGTTTATTATCCTCTTCAAACATCCACTTGACGGTTTTCTTCATTTACAAATGTTTGAGATCATCTTATCTTCAATCGATTGTTACCTAAAGGAAGATATATTATTTTATTGCCCAAAGACCCATCTGCCAAAAGCCCACATAAGACAACGGTAAAAGATCTGTATTGTTTACCTTCAATTTTACATCAACGTTCAATTGGCTCATCGAGAGCTTCTTTATTATTGCTAGGAGAAAGGCTTATCTTTATGACTGTCATATGAATGTGAAGTGCCGGACGAGCTTGATCTTTTATTTGATATCGCCATATTGTGTATGGTTAGGCGGGGACGTGATGAAATTTTATACAAGTCGGTAGTTTCAGTTTGCAACAAGTACATAAAACTTTTGCTTACAGGTCGTTTTTTTGTTCAGAATTGAATTCAGAAAACCTTAAAACGGTCTACAGTTTCGATTGGATGCTATTGTGTATTTTTTCATTTATTTAAACGTGAATTCCGAGGTTTACAGAAGTGGACACTTATGATAGTTATTGCTTTAAGAATTGCATTTAACTTTATCCGAAAGAAAGGAACTATAATTGACTGTCTTAGACGTAAGAGGTTAGGAACTGTAATGCGAAAGCGTTCAGTCACATGATTCTCTTTGTGAAATTCATGCACAGATTGAGAGGATTTAATGAACGATAATCAGTCTGTTATCTGGATGCACTTTCGGACTAAACGTTTCACTCATATTTGGAAAAATAAAAAGTTCAGAAACGTGAGGGGACTTCAAATCTATTGATGTAGAATTGTTTTTCCTTTCTTCTACTTTCTTCGAAATGAACAATAATTTTTTTATAGACTCATGAGAAAACGGAATAAAATGAAAACATATTTAAAAGAATTCAGTTTATTGCATATTAATTCATAAAAAATCAAAGTTTAAAACATTCATCAGTGTTGATATTATTTCAGAACAATTAAACCAGACTTTTTGAATACATTTGAAAACACGTGCAATGTCATCCCACGTAATAAAACAATAGACTTTTGATCGTCACATATATTTTTTATAATCTCACGGTGTAATATTTGTATGTTTGCCTTATAATAGCAACTTTTATTAATGCAGCTGCATATTAAAATCTTTCTTTATTTTTATTTATTTACAGGTCGTTCTATTAGATGTGATCACTGTAATCTAGACGTGGTTTCCATTGAAGAATTCAAAATGCATAAATACAACTGCAAAATGAATCAAGAAAGTGAAGAAAATACAACGGAGCGTAAAAGAAACAGCGAAAGGTATTATTTACTTACTTATTATTTCTTTGATTTTTTTATTTCTAATTTTACAAGTTTTGTTTCTCTACGTTTTTCCACGTACCAGTTATGACCAGTTATGAATATGTTTGCAGCATGCACAGTTTGGGAATTTCGTATGAGTATCATATTCCTTCCTGAAGATTTGAAAATCGTTTTTTAAACACGGAAACACGGAAATTAAATTTCGAAAATCGAAACATACAAGTCGGGTCATCATTTGCAAACGAAGACAATAATTCCAAAACAAATACGGGCGAGCCATGATGATTTCGCGCTTATAGCAATCGGTGCAATATCATGCAGGTGTTCAAAACATGCTGTTGTTTGGAAATTCGTACCAAAAACTGTTTAATGTCCTCAAATAATGTTTGATGAGTATTATTTATTGCAAATACACTAAAACATCTCATTGATATTTCACAGTTATATAACATAATAATACTGAAAGATAGAACTTTAATCTGTGAAGATTTTGGATGTCATAAATTAGACTTCTGAGGGTGCATAAAATATTCAAATCAGATCCTTAGCAAACACTTAATAAGAAATAATTTCTGGTCCTCTTTTTATCTTGTTTGCCGTTTGACAACAAGGTGTAAGAATGGTTTATGGTTTTACCCATCTCCTTCAAGTGTTGAATAGTCTTCGGTAACTTCCAAAAAATTTCCCCTTTTCATTTTTTTTTAATTTACAATACCATCTTGTGATCTTCATGTATTGGAAATAGTGATAAATGAAATATAATACGCTTTTTTAATAACGACTATGTAGTTATTTCAGAAAACATCGCTTGTCCGTTCGTACAAACAAAGTTGTTAAAATAAAAATACAAAAATTCAAATAAAAGATAACCTTTTCAATTTGGACCCTTGACATCATACCCCATTGTAAGTAGCTTTTTTTATCAAAGCAGATTTTTCTTGATATCTTGACTTTTTTATCAACATTTGCTGATGCTTGCTGCTTTTTTCAATGGGATCTGCAAATGCATTTTATCGGAGGTATGAGGTCATTTCAAAATCAAATACAGGATTGAAAAAATAGAAACAAGGGGAATACCTTCCGAACAAGCATATGTGTTATATATATAAAATTCCATAACTCAACCATGCAAGAAAGCAAAAATACCCTTAAAGATTCCCTGAAAAAGTTCAAAAACCAAGATCTTACCCCCACCCCACGAATAATTTCAAACAGTCTTTCGGAAGTCAATGAATAAGTTTTTAAAAAGATGCCGTGTCATTCCTTCGAATTTATTATAGGACTGATAAATTTTTATTTGATCTGTTGACACATCTGAGGACAATATAATCGTGTGACACTAAACGATTGATAAAACGCAAAAGTGATCTGCACTTGGTGAATCTGATATCATATATAATGTTCTCGATCTTTGAGGATCATGAAAGGAAATCGCAAGACTTTTTACCCGGGAAAATATGTCTGCGAATAAATATCAATGTCAAAAACTGTAATTAAAGAATTTTAAATGTGTTCAAGTTTGACAAAACATTTAAACAATCTTTATAAGATAAAAAATGCTCAATATTTCTTTTTTTCGGAAAGTTCTTGTGGGAAGTCAAATCGAACAAAAAGACAAATAAATTTGATTTTATCAGGAATATATATCATGATGGGCTTATAATCCGGGGTCAAATAAATGCTTGTGAATCTATTATCTAATCATCAAATGAAAACGTAAGGGAGATCATGATTTTCTAGTTCAATATCTTATTTGACAATATGAGAAATTGACACTGTCGTATTTGAATTGACATTCTTTAGAAGAACATGACATTCTTTTGGAATTAAAATTAGATATGTCTGATTAGTTTTGTCTCGTGACAGTTAAATATATGACATTTGAATTAAATAAAACATTTGACTATGGGTTTTTAGGTACAAAGCACATCAGTCCTCAGCGCATGATCTCTTCATTATCTATAAATGGAATGCATTTTTCTGTTATTAATATTAATATATTTGATTTCCACGTAAAACATATGCAGGTCATTAAGAGTAATCGGAAGTGTGGATGCAAGTGACAAATATAAAACCGGGCTCTGACTATCAAGTGGTCTGCTTTACTGGTCTCGAGATACCAGTACAGTTCGATATGACTTTTTTAAAAATCATTATCTTATATGCACTACACTTGCTTCATGTTGTTATTTTGTTTTAATATAAAATCATATGTTATATAATTATTGTAAATTTATGCTTAAATTGACAATGCCAAGTAATTTTTTTATTTTGAAAACAGAAAGGGGAATTTTTTTTTGTCCGATTGGTTGCGCTTATATTTAAAGTCAGGATTTGTTTTGTTCTTTCAGCGATGACAGAATCGAAAAGCAAGGAGATGATTTGCATGATATAGATTGTTCAACAAATTGTGATCATTGCCAGCAAGACTTCGAGTCAAGAGGCGAAATGATACGTCATCAGGTATACATAAACTAAAGGTTTTTCGTAATTCAACTAGTTTTTACTTCGGCAACACGACGAGTGCATCAGGATTGTCTTACCCTACCAGAGTACCTGAGATTATCCCCGGTTTTCGGTGGGGTTCATGTTGCTAAGTCTTTAGTTTTCTGTACAGTGTCGGTGGAGTTCGTGTTGCTAAGTCTTTAGTTTTCTGTACAGTGTTGGTTGGGTACGTGTTGCTAAGTCTTTATTTTCTTAACAATATCGGTGGGGTTCATGTTGCTAAGTCTTGAGTTTTCTGTGTAGTGTCGGTGAGGTTCGTGTTGCTTAAGTCTTTAGTTTTTTGTGTTTTATCGGTGGAGATCGTGTTGCTAAGTCTTTAGTTGTCTGTGTAGTGTCGCTGAGGTTCGTGTTGCTTAAGTCTTTAGTTTTTTGTGTAGTGTCGGTGGAGGTCGTGTTGCTAAGTCTTCAGTTTTCTGTGTAGTGTCGGTGAGGTTCGTGTTGCCAAGTCTTTAGTTTTTTGTGTAGTGCAGGTGGGGTTCGTGTTGCTTAGTCTTTAGTTTTCTGTGTAGTGTCGGTGGAATTCGTGTTGCTAAGTCTTTAGTTTTCTGTGTAGTGTCGGTGAAGTTCGTGTTGCTTAAGTCTTTAGTTTTTTGTGTAGTGTCGGTGGAGTTCGTTTTGCTAAGTCTTTAGTTTTCTGTGTAGTGTCAGAGGAGTTCGTGTTGCTAAATCTTTATTTTTCTGTGTAGTGTCGGTGAGGTTCGTGTTGCTTAAGTCTTTAGTTTTTTGTGTAGTATCGGTGGCGTTCGTGTTGCTAAGTCTTTAGTTTTCTGTGTAGTGTCGGTGAGGTTCGTGTTGCTTAAGTCTTTAGTTTTTTGTGTAGTGTCGGTGGAGTTCGTGTTGCTAAGTCTTCAGTTTTCTGTGTAGTGTCGGTGAGGTTCGTGTTGCCAAGTCTTTAGTTTTTTGTGTAGTGCAGGTGGGGTCTTTTGTTTTCTATGTAGTGTTTTTGTAGACTGTCGTTTTTCTTTTTGGACATGGTATTATCGGTTTTCAATCGACTATTGTTTTTTTATTGTTCCCTTGATATCTAATGTCCATTTTTTTAATACCCCCAAAAATTCAAAATGTATGGAAAAGGGGAGTACAATTATACCAGTCTTTGTTTGTTAAGCCATTTCAATTTGATTTTAATTTTTTATCCAGCTTATAGGGGTCATGCGGTGACCTGTTGCAAGACAAATTTTCTATTCCTATCAATACTCGTTTTTCAAGTTGAAGTCCCAAGTTTCTGCTTTTATCCAGGTACAACAACTTTGCAAATATTTTTTTTCATGTATTATTGAATTATTCTGAATATCCATGAAATATCTACCACTGGACATTAAGGAAACACAACAATCAATTGAATTAATGATGTGTTATGCTTCTTTTGTCTAAGATTTAATTCCAAGGAATTGTAAAATGAATTAAATTCACAACAGTTTGAAACTGTCCTCGGTATTTGACTTCTAACAAAATGTGTTATTAGAAATACACAAAATGAACCTCATACGTTGACTATAGGGTAAATAAATGTGGTAATCCATGGCTATCCCACAGCCGACAGTAACATCCATACTAAAGAGGGCTTCTTGTTGGCTGTGTGGGATGTAATGATATACGGTTACGTCCGATCGGAACTTCGACGTTAATTCACAGAAAATTCCACGTTCTTTTCACATTAGTGAACCCTTGCAACAACTCTTTGAGAGTTCCGTAAGGTGGCATGCATATTTCAAGTTTAAAACGTTTCCTTATCAAGCAAAACTTACAACTGGTCGTCTAAATTTCCCGCCCTTCATTCCGTTCGATCTGCGTTAACTTGTTCTCGCTCGGAATATGAACAAAATATTTGCCACTGCACGTTAACCAAACAACAAGCAATCAACTAGCACACACACTGTGACGATGATTGTGAACCTTGAAAATATTAAACAATTACAGAAAATACAACAGCATACGTTTCCATATCTATACTATGATTTTGATTTTTTTCAGATTTCCCATTTAACGATGAGAAAATACGGATGTGAGAACTGCGATAAAATTTTTACAGATCCAAGTAATCTTCAACGTCACATCCGGTCACAGCATGTTGGTGCAAGATGCCATACATGCACAGACTGTGGGAAAACGTTTGCAACTTCTAGTGGATTGAAACAACATCAACATATACATAGCACTATTAAACCTTTCCAATGTGAAGTTTGTTTTAAAGCATACACGCAATTTTCTAACTTATGTCGCCATAAGAGGATGCATGCCGATTGTAGACAGCAAATTAAATGCAAGGACTGCCATCAGTCATTTTCTACGGTCACATCACTGAGTAAACACAAACGATTCTGCGAGGGAGCTTTACGAAGTGGACTTAATATTGGATTGAGTCGAGAGCCATATCATCGAATGGGAACTTCTGATATTTTAACTCCACACGTGCAAACTAATCCACTGGCAATGCTTCGTTCTCATTTTCCATATTATCCACAACTTCAAGGGATGTCACAACTATTTCCAACCACTGCATGTTCATCTCTTCATAGATATGGCATTCCATTTCCACAAGACATTCCAAATGCGCAGAAATCACCGGTGTTAAATTTATTTACAACAAATGAGGAAAATTTGAAAGTTGGTATGAAACGAGAGAGGAAACATTCGCTTGGTGATTCTCCTTCGAGTTCTGTGAGTGATAGAGATAGCTTTACGTCTAATGATGATGAAAGGGATTACCACACTCCAAAGCAAGCAAGGTATGAAGAGAAAAAAGAAGTTCTTCTGAACAAATCACCATCTCAACCACATATTTATGCGCCTATCCCTAAAATTCCAACACCGCTTGTTCTTCCAGTGTACAGGTCCGATATGAAGAGCGCCAAGGTTTCTTCTTTCAATGAATATCACGCATCTTCATTTTCGAAAGTAACATCTGATCGGGGACATGAGACTATCCATGCTAATAAGACTGTAACAGAACAACCATTGGACCTAACAAGAAAGACCAGCAAACAAATTAAAGACCCGGATTCTAACGTAGAATCACTTAAGAAAACGCATATTTTTGGGAGTAGTGATAAGCACAATTCACCATTTACAGCTAACAATCTATTGAACTCAAATACGGATAGCAAAGCACGTTTGTTTGAAAAACAAATGCAACCAAGCCCGTTCAATGATCAGGTACGATCATTCCATGATATGTATTTTCCAAGATTTCCATTCTTTGGCTCACAGCACCTTCCTTTCAATCCTTTCATTCACCATGTTATCAGACCAGATCTGATAGACAAGCAAATTGCATCAAATCGTTTTAATGAACATCTACAATTCATGACATCTGTAAATAAAATCAAGGAAAGATACTCCTGCAAATTTTGTGGAAAGGTTTTCCCTCGTTCCGCAAACTTAACGCGTCATTTGAGGACCCATACGGGAGAACAACCATATAAGTGTAAATATTGTGAAAGGTCATTCAGTATTTCATCCAATCTTCAAAGGCATGTTCGGAATATTCATAACAAAGAAAAACCGTATAGATGCCCCCTCTGCGATAGATGCTTTGGCCAACAAACAAATCTTGACCGTCATCTAAAAAAACACGAAACGGAAGGGCCCATAGTGCATGATTCACCGGATCCGGAAGCTGACGAAAAGTGCGAGCAAGACAAGACACAATGGGACTTGAAAGACGAGGAGTTAAATGACAATGACATTTCAGATACGAACTCAATACCATCATCTGTTGAAGATGACCATGACGGTGTCCTGTCTGAAAATTGCGAAAAAGATTTAAATGACTCATTAGAAAAGGATCTTGATAGAACTGACAGGGTGAAAACGGAATTAACTGAAAAAGTCGATGAACATTTGTTTCCAAGTAGTTTGCTTGTTAATGCAACATTTGACTTTTCCAAAAGCTTTAGACCAGTGCCATGCTTTACATAATTGTTAGTTATTGAAATATTCGTGTATTTTTGTGCAATTTGTTTTAATTATAAAACAGTTAAATGAATTCATATTTTTTTTATATATACAATTATAGTTCCATTTTTTTGTAAAACTGAATGTATTTTCTTTTAGTTCTGGCAATGTATATTACTAAGTCTAAATGAAATTCTATCATAGAGATGACGGAAACCAAAAAGTGCTTTTTATTATTCATGTATGCATATTTATGTAAAATGATATAACTTTTTTGTATGAGTTCTTGGAGACATGATAAGGAGTGGCATACATCTCAAACCTTGCAAAAGTTACAAGGCATATAGAAATATCTTTGGAAGTTCATTGCCTATAAATAAAATTTCAGCGCCTGTAAATTTAATTTTCACTACTTGTTCCCACAGTAAAGTTAAATGCAAACCTATCGTTCAACATTACGGACAATGTTCTGTTGAGCTAAATGCTACGTGCCACGATGGAACATCTATCAATTAACCACAGACAATTTATAAACCTCTTCAACAATCTCCCGTATGTGAACAATTAGCATCTGGAAATTGTTTATCCTTCAACAGACAATGAAATTTCAACGGTATTTTTATACGCCTTGTTTAAACGGAGTCGTTTCAAGTTGAGACGAATTGGAAGCCCATTTTGACATCTTGATAGCGAGCAATTGTGATACTAATACCAGGAAAAGAAAGGTTAAACTTTTCTCTTTTGTCATATCTGTAAGCATGTTTTACGCACATTAGTTTGCATTCTATTGCTTTTCGCTTTTGTTTTTAAATTTCAGATTTAAAGCATCTTGAGCCGTCGAGTTATCTTTATTTCATTTGCAAAAAAGTGAGATGTTTTAGTTAAAATAAGATTATTCGAATGAATTGACTTACGCATTAAGCAATGCTTTTAAGCAATTTTTCTATTAGGTATACAATGCTTATAAAATCAAAACATAAGTTGTGTTCGACAATATCTTGTGTAATTATGCATAATGTTTTTACTGATTTTTATTTCTTGAATATTTGTTGTATTTATATTTTATAGTTAGTGCTATACATTCTGGTGCCTAGTTATTTGATTTTACCGACTGTCTCCTTTATTTATTATCATTATTAATAAAATGTTATAATTTGCTTTAGTGTGTATGTGTGTTCATTTGTACTTTTGGGAGTATAGTATGCATTGAGTGCATTCAACTATTAGTCGCTTTATCAAAATGGAGGTATAAACTGCTGTTATCCGTATGAAAAGGACTAGATTTAAAGGGGGAGATTTGCCATCCTCAATAAATAATAAATTTATGTCTGTTTAGGTTGCTTACCCAATTTTGTCAATACAACGGAACTATAAACAACTGTCATACAAGTGGGAGGTTTAGCTACTATAAAACCAGGTTTAACCCACCATTTTCTTCGGAAAATGCTTGTACCAAGTCAGTAATATGACAGTTGTTTTTCACTTGTTCCGTTGATTGATAGCGCTTAATTTTGTCAGTTTTTATGGACTTCCCCCGTTTTGAATTTGCCTTGGAGTACAGCATTTTTGTTATACATAAATGTTAAAGGAGAGTGTTGCTGGTTGCGGCAATTTTTATTATCGGGTTTTCTCTACATACTTTGTTCTTTATGTCTATTTGTTGGGTTTGTCCTAGTCACGATTTCAGCCATTTTCAGCTAATGTGATGGCAGCAAACTTTGCCAAATGAACTATTCAGTTCTAACATTCTAGAAAAAACGATTTTCCTCAGATCCGGTCATTGGTGCCCGAAGATGAATTTCTACATAAATAAAAATGTTGGTTATGCGTAAATCAGGCAGTAATCCAACAACTTAAACATAAACTCATCTAGAATTTAACACGTGCTCTAGATCTTCAACAACACACATGTGTTTTTACAAATAGTCAAAATCTACATTGCCCCGCGTCCAAAACAGTATTGAATAATTTTAACATAGACTATCGACGATCTGCAATCAACACCAAAATCCACAAATACCCAGATTTACAACATCTCACGAGGAACCACTTACTTCCGCTGATTCGATACTTCAATTGGTGGACTGTAAATATCCGTAGCCAGTACAGAGTGCAGAAAACATGATACCGTTATTACAAGGTTCCTGACACGTTAATTCGTAATACGGATATTGTATTATTAATATTTGCTGTTACAAAATTTAGGACATTATATTGAATTAAGGAATATATCACCCTCATGCAAAGCTCTTGATTCCTTTTCCGGCTTTTGGCTATACTTTTTGTCCTAATTGGTTTATAAGTTTTGAATTTTCAAATGATTTGCCTTCGAGCATCACTGAAGAGACCCTAATTGTCGAAACGCGCATCTGGTGCAGAAAACATGGTACCGTTATTACAAGGTTCCTGACACGTTAATTTGTAATCCATGTTGTTTATCTGGAGATTTGTTGTGATAAACTTATCTCTTTACTTTTATCATGTTGTTTAACTATTTTTTATTTTCAAAACGCAGTCTCTTCGATATTTTCTGGTTTATCTTCTCACTTTCAGCCATTCCAAATGGTTGAATGGACACTACAAGCGGAGTCATATGTACAAAACACATTATTCCATTGACAACATTATAATATCATCACCCGGAGCCGGAATTCATTTCTAAGTTAATGTAACGTGCCCGATATTATGCTACAGTGCTGATGTGCAATATGTCATCGTCACTGACAAAGAATAGATGTGGCTCCGTATGAGCTATTAGCAACAAAAACTCATTACATTTGATTTAATTCTGTAAATGATGGTTATTTATCATTGACAATACAATTAAATTAATCTGTCTAGTTAACATAATTCATCTTCTATATTTGACTCATCATTTCACAACAAATAAAAAGACTTTTTCATAACCAATTTACATTGTTTAGCTGATTCGAGAGACAGAGATTGCGCTGATGGCATCATTAACCCCACCCATTGCAACAGATAATTAGCGTTATTCAAAGGCTTGGAATTCTATAATAAAAGTTACATAATTTAACGTATGTCTCCAAGAAGAAGTGAGAAAAGGAGTTACATTATAAAATAGATTTACATTGCACTTAAAAGACAAACGAAATGACTTTAGAATTTTTAAAATTTCTAAATTTTCAAATTCTCCTTTAAGTACCTACATATCTGATAGATTTTTGAATGATGCCGGCACCTCCCAACACAATTAACGTCTTTGGTGCTGATAACATCTGCTTTGCATTGTTGTGTGATCGCGTCAGGTGGGTGAATGACATATTTCAAAATTCCAACTAGATGCATGTAACAGTAAAGTACATATATCATCATATATTATTCTGATATAAAGTTTTGTTGCTTAAGCAATGTATATACAATGTGGCGGTATGCAATACATATAAAAAGATAGTAAGCAATGACATTAACGGTACCAATTTTAACTGCACCCGAAGCTCGTTTGCACAATTAATGTCTCTTCAGCGATCCTCGAGGCCAAAATATTTGATAAACCAAAACTTATTAAAAAATCGAGGAGTTGATAAAACTAAAACGGACAAAAAGTACATCCTAAACCTGGCAAGGAATCAGAGCTGTTCATGAGGGAGATATATTCCTTAAGTTAGAATAATTTCCAAACTTTTTTAACAGCAAATTTCGATAAAACGATATCCTTTTGTTCATGCCGGTACCTGTGGCTACTGGGCTGGTGATACCATCGCGGACTCTAACAGTCCACCAGCAGAGGTATAGACTCAATGATAGTAAAACATTAACGGTACCAATTTTACTGCACCCGACGCGCATTTTAACCATTAATGACTCTTGAGTGATGCTCGAGGTCCAAGATATCGGCAAATCCAAAATGTATTAAAAAATTGAAGACTGATAAAAACAAAAATGACAAAAAAATAGCCAAAACCGATCAAGGAATCAGAGCAACAAACTAAAACCAGAGATGACCAAATCATAACCAGTGCGGGTATTAAAAAACAGCGAAAGGATTTTAAATAACAAAAGTGAGTATGATGAAAGCCCTGACCTTTGTATTGTTTATGGTTTCGTTGTCACTACCTGAAATAATTAATAAGTTGTGGCAGTAAATTTACCTAGATGACATTTGTTTTCTATGAGCTTGTTTTTAACAAAATCAATACGTTTATTGGATTGTAATTTCCCACAATGCATCAGATTCTGAACTTGCGATTTCAGGAAGATGTTGGGAAACTGTTCACAATGCCATATTCTACCATTACCTGGACTGTTATGAAAAAAAAACAAGGCTGATTGTGTCAACCGTTATAACTTTGAGTCATTTATTAAACCCAATAGTACTGTGTGTATGACAAAACATGTAAAATTAATTTAACCCCGCTACATTCTGTATGTGCCTGTCCCAAGTCAGGAGCCTTTAATTCAGTGGTTGTCGTTTGTTGCTGTATATCATATTTGTTTTTAGTTCATTATTTGGTACATAAATCAGGCCGTCTGTTTTCTCGTTTGAATTGTTTTACATTTGTCATTTTAGGGCCTTTTATAGCTGACTATGCGGTATGGATTTAACTCAGTGTTGAAGGCCGTACTGTGACCTATAGTTGTTAATTTCTGTGTCATTTTATCTCTTGTGAAGAGTTGTCTCATTGGCAATCATAAAACATCTTCTTATCTTTATACTTAGCAAATACCGTTATGTATATTAACACGAAAGGAAAAGGGTGAAACTTGCAGATCATATGACCATGTATTCATTTGGGAGAACTTGTATTGTTCTTTTATTAAATAAAGCATAACATACCATTTTGACGCTGAGAACAATGTTTACTATATTGGTAAAATATTACAACATTCACAATTCAATTTCATGCACAAATATGTAAGTGCTTTGCCTAATCATCCACAAACCGAATGAAGTTGAAATATTTGTGACGTCACATAATCCAAGCATACTCTAGAGAGACATTGATTGTCGAAATGCGCATCTGTTGCAGAAAAATTGGTACCGTTTATGTTATTACTACCACTGGGTCGATGCCTCCGCTGGTGGACTGATAGTCCCCGAGGGTATCACCAGCCCAGTAGCCAGTACTTTGGTACTGGCATGAAAATACGGATTTTAAGTTATTAAAATTTGCTGTTACAAAATTTTGGAAATTATTTAAAATTAAGGAATGTATCTCCCTCATGCAAAGCTCTGATTCCTTGCCCGGCTTTGGCTATACATTTTGGTCCTTTTTTGTTTATACCTCTTCATATTTTTTATATTTTTTTCATACCGTTTAAGTTGTTACTACTGTTGGTCAAATTTAGAAAACTAGTTTCTCTAATTTTCATGCTATTTTCACATTTTCTCGAACGATGTGAGAAAAATATTTCTCATCGCTCATCTCTAGAGAAAACTTTGTTCACGGCAAATGATTGGTCGAAATTCAACTATGACGTCAAATTTTCTTGATTTCTTCTGAATTTCATGTTGTGACGTCATGGAAAAAGCGACCATGTCTGATGTCGTTACATAAAAAGAACACAACTTTCTTTCTGTAAATCTTTAAAAAGGAAGGATAAACCTTGTTTAGATATCATCGAAAAGTCATTAGATAAACAGATTCCACCACTATATCTCGTGTATTACAATATTTCTCCACTCTCAGTTAAATTTTAATTATCTAAACAGCTCGGCAAGCCTCGCGTTTTGAATTTTAAAATTTAACTGTCTCGAGTGGAGAAATATCGTAACACACTTGATGCAGTGGCGGAATCTATATATATACACCGTCTTTTGTTGAAGCCACATGTCTTTTTTGTTATTTTTGTTGTTTGGTTTCTGTCTTAATGACACATATAATACACCACTTCTCCATTTATTCATAAAATGTTTTTAAAGTAACGTTTTGTTAACAGATCATGTATTGTATTTTGAAATTTTAAGATCTTTCGAAAAGCATCTAAACAAGTTGTGTATTAATAAATGGTTTTTTTTTATAAATGCCTTCCTTGTATTTGTGTATATATTTCATACTATGCATAGACAATCAACAAAACAATGTGATAGTTGATCTGATTCTTTACTTTCCCCATCTCCAACCAGGGCTGGAACCTATATTTGTTCCTCTAACTTCTATGGCAACGCCGACTAGCATATTGCGCAGCCGCTTAT